AGGCAGGCAGGCAGGCAGGCAGGCAGGCAGGCAGGCAAGCAGGCAAGCAGGCAGGGAGGCAGGGAGGCAGGCAGGCAGAGGTATATATTTCTTTAGTATGGCCCAGAAATTAGTTTACATGTATCAACTAATGGGCTGAAATAACGAAAGTTTTTATTATTCATACTAGTCCAAAGCAGTAACCACTGCTTATTATTATAAAATGAGATGTAGGAGAGAAAATTTGTCTTGAACTTTGTAGGACCTTTTCATATAATCAGCTCACTAGAACCTCAATAGAATCTCATAGATAAAAATGAGACAGCTACAAGACATTTAAAAGAACCCCTACAGATACGCATAATTTGGATCATTGTGATATTTTTTAAGTTTCAGACATTCCGAAATCTCTGAATCAAAAGCATTATAACCATTAAATGTCTCAATTACACTCTTAAATATTTATTCTCTCATGTAGTGTTTGCATCTCTGAGGATTTTTAATTCACTTTTAGAAGTTGAATTTCTACCTAGAATGCCTTGTTCTCACCGTGTTGCTACTGCTGTCTAATTAAAATAGTGAAATTCTGCTGCATTTTATTTTTTCCCAGCTGTAGCTCTGTCCTCATTTCCGTAAGAGGTAGGATTATTCTATAGGTTAACAACCCTCGCTCAGAAGACCTGCAAATGGACACAACAGAGATTCTGCTTCCATTTTTATTGCCAATTTGGACATGCCATGTACAACCTCACTGATGTATAAAACATCAGTACAAAATGTAGAAAAGTTCTTTTACTTTTTGCCTGCGTATACCCTTTTTATGATGAGCTGAGATGTTTTTGCATAGGCAAAAGTTTTCCTAAAGTAAAACTATACAAAATAGAAACTAAAATAGAATAATTGAAACAGAAACTCTGCATTCAGATTTTTATAGCTTCCTGTATAAAAAATAAAAAGATGCTATGAAGTCTATGAGAAAGTAAGAAAATCTAAGTAGAAGGGCAGTTTTAAGAAAGCCTGAAGGATCTCCAAATTACACAATGATACATATTTGAAGAGGTGCTTGTTATGGGTCACATTATCAAAGAGGCCTCTGCCCTGAATTCCAGAATTGTATTCACTACTATCATATTTTTATGATAATGGTAAGCAAATACACTTTGCCCAGTTGTGTTAGACAGATATTCTGAAGGACAGAAATTACGGTTTCTACAAAGTAACCTGTGAAGGCTTTCTTTATACAAGTATCTAGTTCAGTAAACACTTCGAGAACATGAACATTTTTATTGATATTATAGTTTTCCATTTACAAGTACTTACAAGTTCATTAGAGTAGTGTGTGCATTTTGGAAGATATAAAAATTGTGAACTTCTTTGTACAATAATGAAACAAACAGTTTTGGCTATCTTTTACCTTACCTGGAAGGTAGAGTATGCTGGTTTAGATTCTTCAAATCTGATAGATTTGGGTTTATACCCTGACTCTCTCACGTACCAACCTATGATGCTAAGACATCCATTAATATAAAACTTATATTGTATAGAAAGTAAGAAAAGACCATAGCTCCCCAAACTCCCTTCTATAGTAAGACTTTTCACAATGGACTATAATCACCTAAGATGACCATTATTATTTGGGAATGTAAATAAATTAAGAAATGTTTGGCAGATTAATGGAGCACAGTTCTGGGTGGGTCTGTTTGTGGATAACTGACATGTAGGCTGGCCAATTCAGAGGGGAAGACCTGCCCTAAGCTGGTGAAGCCAACCAATAGACCTAGAGCCTCCATCCAACAGAGATGAAAAGAAAGTGCACCCTTTCTGAACAGCTCTGATCTTCCTTGTGGCCTTTGGACTTCACACTCCAGACTCACAGTGCTGATTCTCCAGGGACTTTCCAGGTTTTGACCTTGGTCTGCTGCTGCATCCTGCTTGTTCTGTGCCTTCCATCTTCATGAGCTGTGCAGCTACTGGAATCCCTGGCTCTCTGCCATGTCAACAGCCATTGGGAACTCTCCTGGTTCTGATCACGCAAGCCTACCTAGTGAATCCCTGTACATAATTATACATATATTTGCTATTGAGTCTATCCCTCTAGAGAACCCTAAATAACACACCTGGTTCTCCCATTAGATTTGAGTTTTCTGGAAAAAGAGCGCATCTTAAATCTTTAGAGAAGCAGCTCTTAATCTGGGCTCCACACAATAATGACATGAGGAGCTTTTCAGACTTCCAGTGACCACGCTGTGCTCACAGCATTGAAATGGCTATCTCTGAGTGTAGCCTAAAATTTCATTTTTAAAGTTTCCAAATGATTTCAAAACACTCCAAGTGAAGAGCCCTTGCTTGTAAAGGCTTAGCACAATACCTGGCATGGAGAAACCATGTTACATAAAAAAGGAATGAGTAAATTCCATCAGTAAAAGTAGGAACGGTGTCACAAACCACATTGTACTACTTGCATGTGCATCTTCTCACAATAAGGCTAGGAGCTCATAGTCATGAGAACCAGCCAGATAGGCTTCCTGTCCTCATCTCTGCTAACCTTCACATTGCCGAGCATGTATTAGGAACTCATTGTTAATGGAGGGTAGAGTAACATTAGACAAAAAAGAAAAAGTTTTCTTATTGATTAAAGACTTCAAATAGATGGATATTGAGAGAAAAGACTCAATTTTGTTCTTAAGAATAAGCACACTAGATACATGAAAAATAATCTCACTTCAGAGATTCCAGTGTTGATACTGCTTTATGTAGCAGATGACTATTTTTTTATAAACTGCTGTGAATGGCAATTCCAATTGTAGTGAGTGCTTGTTCCTATATTTCCCCAAACTGTGAATTAGAGAAGATTCCTTTGCTCTACTATCCTAAATCATGCTGGACCATTCAGGAATTCTCAAGACAAAAAGACAAAGACTCACATTTTTGAAGGTGAAATGTTTACTGGATTTATTCTGAAAAGCTATTTGGCATAACAAACAATGGAAAAGTGTGTGTTTATTTATTTTCATATTATTTATTTATACACATGGGTAAGTTCATACTCCATTAAGTGTTTTGATGGAATTACTATGACATTTAAAAGGAAATTCTCCGAGGAAATTTTGTGACAGCTAGTAACATTAGTATGAAAGTAAAATACAAACACATATGTACATTTTTAAAAAGGCAAGACATAAAATCAGCCAAGTATTTGAATGGTGCTGATTTTTGGTTTTTTAATGTATTTGGTTGTTACGCAGCTTGGACTCATGGTGATCCTCCTGCCTTCAGCTCCCCCCACCCCCACCTCAGCGCTCTGATTACAGACTTGTGCCTCCATGCCCAGCCTCCAACCAGCTCAGCGCACCTGGGGGTAGGGCTGGCATGCACGTGGTGCCAGGGATCAAACCGCGGTCCCTGCACTTGGCTAAGGTTGCCTAAGCAGGAGCTTTAGTCTGCTGATCTATCTCACTGGCCCCATGGTGCTAAATTTATGGGCAGCCACATATAGGTAGTAAGTTCTATATTGTTTATATACAGCCACTACTTCCAGGTACTGAATTTTTCTCCTTTTTTATGCAGTAATATTGTACAGATATTTAGGATGCCAAGACTGATAGTTGCCACTAGCCTCAACTTAGTAACAAAATTTACAGGTTGATTTTACTGAATGAGCTACAAGGCTAGATCCAAAGGTCCGATGAATGTATAATGAGAACTTAGGATATGCAGTCCATAGGATCTATGCTTATAAATAACAAAGTACACACACACACACACACACACACACACACACACACACACACAGAAGCAGCATTTACTTTGCACCAGAGTAACAGAATGTAAAAATGACCATTCAGCTTTTTCTCCGCTGCCGCCAAGGTGCTCGGTTCTTTCGAGCAAGCTAAGGATGCGTTAGGGTGAGGCCCTCACTTTTTCCAGTGACTAGCACCCAGCCTGGCAGCCTGTGCCATGGCCTCCGTCTCCGAGCTCACTTGCACCTACTCCGCCCTTAGCCTGCAAGACCAGGTGACTGCGGCAGAGGATAAGATCAATACCCTCATTAAAGCGGCTGGTGTCAATGTCGAACCTTTTCTGCCAGGCTTGCTTGCGGAGGCCCTGGCCAATGTCAACATCGGGAGCCTCATCTGCAATGTAAGGGCTCACACTGCACCTGCAGGTGGCCCTGCGCCCTCCACCGCTGCAGCACCAGCTGAGGAGAAGAAGGTGGAAGCAAAGAAAGAAGAATCAGAGGAATCTGAGGACGACATGGGCTTTGGGCTTTTCAACTAAACCTCATTTTGTAACATGTTCAATAAAAACTGAACAGCTGGAAAAAAAATGACTATTCAAGCTGAAACCATGCTAAGTAACCTCAATAATCAACGGGAAAATTGCAGTGCCAGATCGATCTTATGGCACATTAAAGAATTGACACTAACCCTTCTCAAACTGTTCCAGAAAATAAGAGAATAGTCAAAGACATTCCCCAAAACCAGTATCATCTTGAGACCAAAGCAAAAGACATCAAAAGAAGGCCACATACCAATCTCTCTCTCAGGGGCCAGGGAGATAGCTCAGTAGTAAGTGCTTGCCTGGCAAGCGCAAGGGCCTGAGTTCAATCTCCAATTCTGTCAAAAAAAAAAAAAAAGGTTTCGGGTTTCACTACACAGTTCAGGCTGTCTTCAATTCACTTTGTAGTCAAGGTTAGCCTCGAACTCATGGCAACCCTCCTGCCTCAGCCTCCCAAGTGATTTTTCAAGAAAGATATCTATATCAGATTATTATTTCAAGACATAATGACAAGATTTAAACAATGTGTTTAATCACTTTTGATCCATTCTAAAGTCACCTTATGGAACAACATATCATGAAATAAATAGTTGTATGTCTAGGAAATTTACCAATAGAGCTCTTTTCCATTGGTGTGTATACTTTAATTTGTCTTATTGGAGCATCTCTTCCATTTTGGGGATCAACTAGAACAGAGATCTGTATTGTGAATGTACAAGTTGGCCTCTTGTGATTGTAAGTTAAGAAAATATGAATCCAGCTACTTGATCTGACAAATTCAAGTTGGCTGAATTAGACTTAATTATGAGGCTGGGAGGCACGGGATTATCAGTAAACTTCTAAGTGGTCATTCCATAACTATTCTGCTCCAAATCCTGGTTTGCAAGATGAGAGTAACCCAAAAAGTTTGAGACCCAGTTCTCCTTACTTTTCCAGTTCTTCCCAGCTGTTTAGGGTCAGCATCACAAGATGTCTTATTTAGTATGGTTATTTTTTAAATACTGATGGGATCTCTCTGTATATTGGGAAAAGCGCACTTATACTTCCAAACCTAGCTTGACACCCACAACTTAAATGAAGAAATGGATTTTGCAGAAGACTTAGTCCATGGTTAATTGACTCTAAGGCAGAACTATTTGGGGAGAAAAGTACAGGTGAGTGAAGATGTTCATTTCCTTGCAAGCAGACCCAGATATAGACCCTAAAGTCATGCCTCTGTGATGTACAAGACATACCCATAGTTGTGCTTTGCTAAGCCCCTAGATAGCTTCCAAGCCAATCAGGCCGACAACTAATCTCAGAAGTTGTTGACTTGAGCCTTTCACAGCTCAGCATATTAATATGACTTTACTTTTTATACCTTATTGTTATACTTTTCTGCTGGATGGTTAAGACCAAGATAAAGCAAGACCTATGTAACAAGAATTGTAGCTTTTGGATCTGATAAGGTCAATCAAATCCCCTCAGGATTTATCCTGAGACCCTGTACCTCAGATTGTAGATCCTTTGTCAGTGTCAGCCATGTGGATCAGTCACGGCCATTGCTTGGCGAATTTGCTCTCTGTGAAAGCCTGAGAGAATGTTTTCTCTCTAGGTGACTAATAGTGTTTGGACAGAATATCATGTCTGCATCTTGTACTATGAATAGTTACCACAAAGACAACAATATGAAATATATCAATTATTGTAACTGTCCTACTAACATGTTTTGAAACTGTCTCATTGCTATCTGTTTGTCAATAAAATTAATTTTTAAAAAGTTGACAATTAAGCTTTATCATCACAGCAGTTAAGGAAGAACATTAGCCTATCAATGGCAAAAAAAAGACTATGGAAGATGCTCCTGGACAGATTCCACATAGAACATGAAGACATCTGCTCCCCGAGAGGCACCCACTGCACAGGAGGCTCTCAATAATCAGATGAAGAAGAGGACACAGATTATGATGACACAGGTAGCATCCTCCATAGGCAATGAGGTGCTTGGAATGCCAAAAACAATTGTTATGACAGTAGGGGTGAATGTCATGCATTCATTCAACAGGTTGGGCTTCTCACCCAGGCCTATCTGGAACTACCATTGCCAAATGCATAACCAGAGGGATCCGTGCTAAGCCTCCAATCGCAACTCCCCTTGGGGTACTACCCAGCTACTTTGTGGTATGTTGATCACATCAGATTTTGCCTTATGAGATGTATTAACAGTCTGTCCTAACTACAGTACAGTGTGTATGCATTCTCTAAATGCTTTTTCTTTTATCAGTGCTTCTGCTAGCACCACCATCAGGCCCTTATAGAAACTATAATTCACCATATTTAATGCACCATTGTTTGTTTCACACAATATTACATTGGACCAAAGAACTCAATACAATAAGAGAAGTATCATAGTGAAATCATGACCATGGAATTCCCTGGTCTCATCATAATCCCCTACTACTTGTATATAACTGGGTAAGTGTGAAATGATCTAGGGAATCACTACCACTCTAATTAAAAACACCCTAAAGGGCCAGAGAGATGGCTCAGTAGAATAAGTGCTTCCCTGGCAAGTGCAAGGGCCTAAATTCAATCCCCAGTTCCACAAAAAATCCTAAAATTCATGGCTATCTCTTATAGAATGTCCTCATATGTTTTAAATCAGTGGCAAATTTATAATTCTGATCTTGCTGTGATCAGAATATAAGGCTCTAGGAATCAATGTCACTTGGATCTAGTAACTCACTGACAAAAATTTCTCTCAATCTCCCATGACATTTGTGGTCTGCTGTTTAGAGATCCCAGCTGGATGCTTTCACAAACAGGAATAACAAATGTTCCATTGAACAGAAATTGGAGACTGCTGCCTCTTAAGTTTTGGGGTCTTCCTCTCATTGAGTCAATAGCAAAGAGAGAAATTAGTCTCATGACTGGGGATTGGTCCTGATTAGCAAGCAGAACTTGGCTGCTGCTATAGAATGTGGGCATTGAAAAACCAGGTAACACAAAGAGATTCCTCTTAGAAAATCCATTTCTTAGAGTAAAAGTTAATGGAAGACTAAAGTAACCCACACACACACCAAAAAAAAAAAAGGCAGAAGAGCCGGTCAAATAGTTCAGGAGATTAAAGTGCCTGCAAGCAGTTGCAGGGGCCAGGGGTTCCTTCCCCGGGCCTGCCTTGTCAGCCCCACCCCCAGGGCACACTGAGATGGCGATTGAGACTGGGCGTGGTGGCATGCACCTGTAATCCCAGATCCTGGGAGGCTGTAAACAGGCAGATTACCATGAGTCCGATCTAGTAGTGAGACCCTGAACTCCCTGTGGACCCCTCCCTAAAAAAAGAAAGAAAGAAAGAAAGAAAGAAAGAAAGAAAGAAAGAAAGAAAGGGAAAGAAAAGAAAAAGGTCAGAACCACTGAGGAGTAAAACCTCTCATAAATGACAATATAGGCAATTAGGCAGGTAAAGGAGCTGAAATGATGGCTAAAAGGCCAGGAAATGTGGTCTGGAATAGTGGAAAGAGTTAGAATCCACTGTAGCCTTGGGACCAGTTCTAAGAACATGGACATAGTCAACTACATATGTTTTCTTCTTGCTCAGCGTGCACATTTGCATTTTATTTTTACTTTTTATTGTTTTACATAAGGAATGTTGGTGGAGGTAAATTTGACGATTCAGGCTTGAGATAACTGCAAGAGACAATTAATTCCCTAGCCAGGGAAATAATGTAGGTTGGAAAGCCGAGTCACTTCAGGTAGGGAGGCATCAGTAGAAGGGGAGAGAGTCTCCTAAAGATACTTCCATCTTACTAGACAGAAGCATAAAGTCATTATTGTGCAAAAGTGTCAGCACCGTTCAGTCTCTGCCTTCTAAATCTGACTTTGCAAAATTAGGCCTGCTGACACTGACAAAGGATCTACAAAGTGCAGTACAGGGTTACAGGATAAATCCTGAGGGGACTTGACTGACCTTATCAGATACAAAAGTTACATTTCTTGTTATGTAGGTCTTCTTTATCTTGGTCTTAACCATCCAGCAGAAAAGTATAAAAGCGAGATATATAAAGTAAAGCCATATTCATATGCTGAGCTGTAAAAGGCTCCAGTCAACAACTTCTGCTGACAACTCCCTACTATTGTGGACTACTGGAATGTGTTGGATTGTTTTGCTGAATTTGAGCACCTATAATATTTAGATACCAATTAGATGTCCATCTCTGACAGGACTGAACTAGAGAGGGAGGATACAGAGGAAGGACCATTTTGTATTTGTATATACAGAATAGTCAGGATAGATGTACGGCTGCTTTCGCTTGGTTCAGTGAGAGGAAGGATTTGTAGTAGTAGTGTTTGGACAGGATGTCCTGGCTGCTTCTTGTGCTGTGGATGACCGCTGAGAAGATAACAATGTGCAATGTATTAATTATTGAAAATGTCCTATTAATCAGCTTGGAAAGTGTCTCATTGATATTTGTTTCTCAATAAAATAAATAAATTAATTAATTATTTAATTAAAAAATAAAATGAAATTAGGCCTGGAGTTTGAATTGCTTTGTTTACTGGACCTTTGTTAAATTCTGTCCAAAAACTTTTTTTTTTAAGTTGCGTAGAGAAACTGGAAGGCAGCGAGAGGGCAGAAAGGCTTTGTTCCTTGTGTTTGCTTGTTCTCCTGTCAGTTTCTAAGTAATGTTAACCTTGCAGCAGCAGTGTTTCAACCTCCAGCTCTTGTTGGCATTCCCAGAAGCAACCTCATCCTGCTGCCCAGAAGGCCCAGGAAGAGTACTACTCGCTAAGGAACACGCCCAAAGCCTAGCTGCCTGACTCCTCCTCCTCCTCCTCCTCCTCCTCCTCCTAACTTGAAAGCACAGACAACCTAGGCTTTTCTTTTTTGGTTTTCTAAGACAGAATCTTACTGTCAAGTTCAGGCTGCCCTCAACCTCGCAGTGATCCTTCTGCTTCACCCTCCCAAATTCTGGGATTATAGGTATGTGCCACCAGACCTGGCTCATAACCTTGAGATTTTA